TGACCCCTGCCACTGTCTAAGTCTTCCAGATTAGGGGGTCAAATTTTTATTTGAAGTGAGATGCAGATTTTTGTTGTTGTTTTTCATGTGAACTCTGATTTTTTTAATATAAAAAAAGCAAGATATCTACAGAGCTAGGTAGTTTTGACATATCGTTTTGTCCTATATTAATGTATGCTTGAGTGCAAGCATCTGAGGACAACATTCATTACCTGAATAAGATGAATATATACAATCTGCCAGTAGGTGAATTGGATATGTGAGAATATATGAGAATTATTACTAGCAATATCTATAAAACTATGTCTTTTCAAGTTTCATGAGAGCTTGAGTGGTAGCTGTGTCAGCATTAAGTCTTGCCTAATTCTAATTCTTGCCTAATTCTTGCCTAATTCTAATTCACAGTATTGGATGAGGTATTTTCAGAACAGTTTAGTTCTATATAACTTGTTATCAGGTGTGAAAGACATAAATTTGATAGGAACTTGAGTGCCAGAAGAATAAGTAAGATATTACTGATAAGATAAAAATAAAATACATGTTTGGAATGCAAGTTAACGCACATTCGTTAATGGAGTGAGCTTTTCTTTGTAGGTTTGGTATCGAACGCATTGTTGATGACATGATCCAGGAAGCCATGGCAAGGGGAGATTTTGATAATTTGTCTAATGCTGGAAAGCCCCTGGAGACTCGAAATCACAATCCTTACGTGGATACTGTCACTCATAAACTCAATGAGGTGGTGTATTCTCTGAGGTTCTTTGGTACAGAAATTTGAATGCTGAAATATACTGATTTTGGAAAAACAGGCATTTTTGAATTATGAAATATACATACTGTATTTACTTTATTTTATTTATTCTTTCTTTTTTTGTATCATTTAATTTCATAACAATTTTGTTCTCTTTTCTTTTCACAACTGGGAATGGTTTCAGGTGCTGATCAACAATGGTTATGCTCCAGAATGGGTAATGCTAGAGAAAGAGATTCGGCAGGACAGGACCAGGATCCGGGAAGCATTGCTGAGAGAGAGAGGACGTATAGGACAACTACCTCTTTCGCCTGAAGATGAAGTAAGCCTTGGAAGAAGAATTTATTCGCATAAGAAAAATACATTCATCAGCCTGGACTGCTTGTCTTACTATTGCATTGCTAGCTTTTACTCAAGAAGATACACATATATACTATTACATATTTATGGTAAATGTACATGTTTGGTAGAGCAATGTAAGTATGATGGTAAGTCATATCCAGCAAGGCACAAGATATCCCTGTGTAGGCCTTGCTCAGTAAGAGCACCCCATACATAGTGACTCACATCACATTGTATTACCTCTACACTACTTGTACAGACTATATATATTATATTACCAGTGATAATGATAAATCCCTGATTACAATAACGCATATAATCACACAGTGGGTATTACTGCAACATCAGGCTATTTCCTTACTTTTTTCTTTTGCATTGGAACTCTTATAAATCAGAACCAAATGGTGCTTTACTTATGTACCATATTTCCACATTCAAGGGGATATTTAAGCCAATGAGTAATCTATGTACAACAAAACTCTCATTTCACACCTCTTTACTTCCCTGTCAAAAATAAGTGGAATATTGATTTGTGAATTTGCTTTGTAGATTTCTGTAATTCTTTCAGTCTCTAGCTGCCTGATGGGTATATACAAGAAAATGATGCATAAATAAAGATAGTGTAGCATGAATGGAAATCTTAATCACTCATACCTACACGATGTTGCTAGATGCAAATATGCATTTATCTCTGATGATGGTTGGATAAGGCCTATGTTACTATGTTAGTTGATGTCTTAATGAAATAATTACAGTCTGCATGTTTGCATCATCATGTATTCATTCCTACTCTCTCTCCATTCCTAAATGATATTTTTTTGGATGTCCATTTATTGCATTCTGTAGATATTTAATATGTATACACTGTATCCTTTTCCAATCTCTTCCTTGCACTCCATTCCAGGAGAAGTGGAAATCAGCTCTCGGTCGCCAAGCGGAATCGATATCAGAGCTCAATAAAAAGATCAACAAGTATAACCTATTGGTACCAATCCTCAGCAAACAAACAGTCCATTTCCCACTTGCAAGGGAATCTGAAAAAATCCTAAAGGAGGGGCTTTCCAAAGATCAGATCCCAGCACAAGAAGAAGCAACAGAAAGTGGTGGAAGCATCAGTGGGAAATCTTCAGGCATTCGCAAGTTGTTTGACCTGTTAACTGTGCTTAGAAATCCATGAAAATATATTTATTTTGTTTTGTTTATAGTGATGCAGGTATAATTATTTTAATAGTTGATAGAGTGCATGTGATAAAGAACATGATTGTATATACTTTGTATTTTATAGATTTTTGTTGGTAGTTTATATAAATCAATATATAAATTTGACTAATGTTAACATTATTGCATTAATTTCAACCTCCAAATTTATCATGGTTAACAGCACAAGAAATGTATTGGTTCTGTGTG